TATTTTTATATTGCATTTCTTATAAAGCTACTTTATTATAAATCACTAGCTGTTCTCTTGCGGCTTCATCCGCATGAAAGTATAAAAAAATAGTTTATTGTTTACATTTGATAAATTATCAATAGCAAATGTCAAAATAACATAACATGACAAACCTCGGCAATTTTGCTTCCTTGATGTTGGCAACACCTTATGGTCTCTTTCCCACATTAGGGTTTTTATCCAAAATATTTACCCCCTCAGTTTAATTTTGTGAAAATTTATAGTCTTAAGCGAGACGTAAGTGTAGGGCTTTTTATTGAAAAAAGAATTATTCAAAAATATGCTGTAATTGCTGACATCTTATACAACAAAGAAGTGTGTGTTTACGCTTTATTATAATAGTATAGATTTACTTTAGACCATCGAAAGCTATCGTTACCTAACAGCGAATCCCTCGATTATTATTGCAAATTACGTTTTGCGTTTAAACAGTATCTAATACACCTTATTCAACGGCGATAGTGTTCAAAATGCGTTAACATTCGTATCCTTGCGTGTATGCGATGTTTGTAGGGAGTTAGGGAGTGTAGTAGGGTGAGAGGAACATTGGGGTACCTTAAGTGGGGTGAGATAACGTCACAGGTCGGGCTTAGCGGTTACGAGAGTCGCGCTTGACGCTCCGCTTTAGGGGGGTTAGATGTGCCGCTTTAAGATACAGGGCTGGCACTTAGGAAAAATTAATAATTTTTTTATTAATTACGTAAACAGTGCACAAAACTGGTAGAGCTGGTTTTGATTGTCCTAGTAATTATGTTAATACGTATTATACTCGAAAAAGGGAAATACCATACCATCATTGTAAACATCATTGTCTTGAAGTAAGGTTTAATTGCATTTCGTATACAGATGGAAAATACTGCATTTTCACATTCTCCCAAAAAAATCTCTATTTTATAAGGAAATCGAAAGTACTTACATCATAATACTATAAATGCGAAAGTTTACATGGATGAATGTTTGTTAGAGTTTGTAGCCTAAACGGCTTAACAGATCTCGATGAAATTTGGCATAGATCTAGAGGATTTCTGGAAGGACACATAGGATACTTAATTTTTTAATTCCACGCGGACGAAGCCACGGGCGAAAGGTAGTGTTACACTACGGGTGTAATACACTCATCGTAATTGTATTGTTAGGGTGTCATAACTTTTAGTCACCTACTTGTGTCTTTTACTTTTGGTATAATAATAATTGAATAGACAGCCCTGTTCAAACTCGTTACGTAGCGGAGTCCCTCCACGGAGTCATCAGACAAGGGCGGGCTCAAGTTTAATTGAATCACTCAAAGTTTCCGCCCCTCGTGGGCCGCGCTGATTGGCGCCCGGCGAAGACTTTGTTCCCTTGTTACGAAGAGACACTCATACTTATACCTATGTATATCTGCACCCTTTGTGCTATTTATAAATGTACAGCACGGTATTCAAGGATGTTGGATACTATTCAATATAACATCAGGGCTGCCTATTTTTAATAAATCCGATAGAAACAGAAGTGGAATCTAGTGCCTATAAAAGCATAATACTCACACCCCTTGAGCCTCGTTAGCGGCTTTATAATTATCATAAAATATTCACAAATAACGCTTAAAGTCCTTCAAGAAGCGAGCATATTACCTTTTCAAAGGTCGGCAATGCATCTGCAGTTCCCCTAGTATTGCGAATGTCCATGGGCGTTGAAGAACATCTCGGTGTTGCCGCTGCTTATTTGCCCCGTTGTTTTATAAAAAAAACATGAAAGTAATGAAATTAGAATCTTTTGCCGTAATATGTACTTATTATTTGCTTATTTTCTTTATTATGAACACCTGTACATACTATATATTTTAATTGTTATATTCGAATCATGTTTGAATTAAAACTCAGCGAAACGTTCAATGCATTGTTAAAGTAACATACAGGTGGATTTCGTCATACATAGAGAAAATGTGGTGTTCAATGTCAAATCATATTAAAGCCACCTTTTTAAAATATCACTCGAAAATGGTAACAAGTAATTTCAATTTCTTAGGATATTATATTTTAAATTCTAAAACATCAATACTATAAGGTTTCGCTTAGCATTTTTTAAATTAGATAACAATCTCTATACGGTTGTTTATATAGTGAAACCTACGTTATGTAAGAAATGTTCATAGATCGACACCTTTTCTTCAAACCAACGTTAAATCTTTTATACATATAATAAAATTGGAGTGTCTGTATGTAGCATTAATGTATTTGCGCTACTGATAACGAAAATCGCATTTTTTTTTGTCTGTCTGTCCGCAAAACAAGTTTGTTCCGATTAATCTCCGAAACGGCTGGGCCGATTTCGACCGGACTTTCACTGAAGGGTAGCTAACATAGACGGGCATATTATAGGCCAGTTTATATCTTATTTTGCGTGTACAAAGTCGCGGGCACCTAGTCGTAATATACGAGTACGTTGATTGAGAATTGTTGCCTAAATCTTCTAGGAGCCTATTCAATTAGAAGTGATTAGGCCATCAACCACGATGACCCAGAGCAGTTTAATATGAAATTCGAAAATCGAAAAGCACATTGGTTCATGGTGAGGA